GGTCAGTATTTTACTTGTATTACCCGAAAAAGCAAGGAGATCTTGGTTCCCCTCCTCTCCTTAACACTGGGCATGCCCGTGCAAAGAAAGCTTCCCGCCAGAATCTTTTCAATCGGTTGGGGGTGTGCCCAACCTCAGAGGAGGGCGGGGTTGGCCTTAGGCCCACTGGATAGAAGATTTTCAGTATTTTATAATCACGGAGTATATGGAGGGTGTCAGGATCAGTGCTGACAGAAGTCGAGTTTATTCCAGAAAATGTGGCGGTTACTTTGTTCACTGTTGTTGCAACCACGACCATCGGATCATTCAGATCATTTGTGATCTGATGGCTGGGAAGCACTCTGCCGTGATTTCCGGTGGGAGGTCTCTGTTTCTTTTTTTTTTTGGGCCTTTCTCCTGTTTTCTCAGCCCAGAAATTCGTAATAAACCTGTCTGGCCGCTGCCACTCAGTGTCACACTGGATCCGCCACACTCCTATCCGACTGCTAATGGGACCTCGCCCCTGTGGCCTAATGGTACACAGTACTACACACACACACACACAGGCCTGATTCTTTTCTTTTTTTTTTTCTTTTTTTTTTTCTTTTTTTTAAGCAAATGCTCTAGTCTATTCGTGGGGAGCAGCACGTGCTGGGAACCGGGCCCAGCGTCCCATATCGAATTGTACAGATCATTAAGAACATTTGAGATCATTTGAGATCATTTGAGATACTGGGGCCATTACCCGGCTTCGGCTGAGATCAGTCTATGAATATCTAATGACCTATTAAGGAACTTCTCATGCAGTAGGCTGCCACAGAGGTCCTATGAATGCTCACAACCCTCATAATTCCTAACAAGCCCTTCTAAGACTTTCCAACACAGTCTTACTCCTTGCTGAGCTCTTCCAGGCCTCACGCCCTCACCGTGCTGGGTTACAGCTGTCTCTTATACACATCTAGATGTGTATAACACCCCCCAGGTGCAATGACTTTTTCTTTTTTTCTCTTTTTTAATTTGCTGTGCAGGTTGCGGATAACCTTCTCGGCGGCTCATACTCCTCGCGACATCCAGGCACTCGTCACTGCTCTTCCAGGTTGGGTCATTTCGAATGCAAGGAGATTCGTTCAGCCACTCCCCTTCAGCAGTGACATGCTGCTCACGCAGCGAAGCGTTCCGCGGAAGTTGTCGGATCTGGCCTCGAATGCGAGTAGTGAGGGTGTTGCGTCAAAGGTAGTAGTTCAATCAACGGACTGTGGATCACCCGATCCCCCCAGAAATGGTGAAGACACTGAAGAGTTATCGGGATCTATGGATGCAGGGCTTGCTGCATCTGGAAATGCAACAGGCAAAGACGCAGGAGGCCACAGCCAAGAATTGTCGAAAAGGGAGTTGGTGGAGCGTAAAAGGACTGAGCATGAAGAACAAGTCAAGAATAAAAAGGACTTGTCATCATCCAGGGCTAGACTGTAGGGCCTTAAGGATCATAAAGCCGAAACAGGGGAATAGCGCGCCGGGGTAGCGAGTGGAAGGATTGTACAAAGGGAGGGACACTGGACCCGGTTTCCAGCAGGTGCTGCTCCCCACCAATAGACCGGAGCATCCAGGAACGGGCCCGCTAGCAGGAGCTGCTCGTATCACTCCCTCTAGCGGCCCTCGCCCAGAATTAGAAAAGAAATGGAAAAAAAAAAAAAGACTGTCTGGGCCCGGTTCCCAGCATGGGACTGTTTTACCAAATCAATGATGTACTTCAGGGGACGCTGGACCCATTTTCCAGCAGGACAGGGGTAGGAGTGCATGCTCTTATCATCATCACTCCTATCTGTCGAAGCGGGGTTCAAAGCAAAAAAAAAAAAAAAAAAAAAAAAAAAAAAAAAAAAAAAAAAAAAAAGCATAACATCACACCCCATCACTGAAGACAAGACAACTGGTTTTGCGCCTGCCACACACACCACCTCCTCAGATCTTCCCCTGCTCTCTGTGCAGCAGCTCTATCTAGAGGCTCCACATAGTCCGCTCTATAATTGGAGGTAATTAAGGAATTCAATCTGGAGGGGGGGGGGG